GTAATAGAGTAGCCAATAGCCACATATGACTAGTGAGCACTTGAAATGCAGCTAGTCAACTGAGACGTGCTCTAAGAAATCGAAAATAGTACAGAAAAACAATGTAAAATATCTCAATACATTTTTATATTGATTTCACACTGAAATGATAATATTTTGGACATACTGGCCTAAATAAAATACATTAATATTAACTTTACTTGGTTTTTACTTTTTAAAATGTGGCTATTAGAAACTATAAAATTATATATTGACTTGCATTAAACTTTTATTGGACAGCACTGGTGTAGAAAATTTAAAGTACCAGCTGTTGACACAAGAACCACTGATAGACAGTATTTTAAAGTGATTAAACTTTTTTTATTTTTGGTAAATTGATTTTATATGTTATCATTTGTATAACTTTAGTATCTCAGTGTATTAAGATGGGGATTAAATTACCCATTTTCCTAGATTCCCTTCTGAGTTTAATAGGGATCTTTGAAAAATACCCTCCCCAGTCCAGAAAATTGTCAGGAAAAACTCCTCTAGCTTGGACAAAATGTAGAGTTTGAGATATCTTAGTAAGCATTTAGTCAGATATTAGAGCATTCATGGTGTTTCTGGCCTGGAGAGATTAGGGATAATTTCTAACCGTCTTGTTTCTTATGTTCATAAAGTGACTATATCTTGTTGTTTTATAAAAACAACCCATGTGTTATCTCGATCACTTCAAAGCCAAATAGGAATAACCATGTATAATCAACTCCTCAAAGAATTTAACAGCAGTAATTAAAAAAGCACAAATGAAATAAACGAATTGTAGTATTGGAGTGCTACACCTTTCTCGTGCTAGGAGCATACTCATACCATTTCTAGGTTTTGTTTAAACACATTTTAATTTTGTTAAACCTAAACCAGACCTTGCTTAATTTTATTAGGTTGTTCTTCGTAGGTGTTATATAAAATCAAGTAAATTGTGAAACTGTGTTTAAGAACCATAGGGTAAAAAAAAAAAAAAATTATGACCTTAAAATGAAAAGTAGTTTTGGATTCATACTATCTTGTTAAAATCATGAAAAACCTGTAGTAAGAAAACTCTCACCAAAATGTGAGTTTAGAAATTACCATGGAAGATACATCCCAAAAGAGATCAAATAAAGGTAAACCTATTCTTTAATCTTCTCTCCTTTGACTTCACACCCTGAATCTTTACCAGCGTAATCCTTTTCTTCATATTTTTTACTATATACTTTTAACTTAGTGTTACTAGTGTAATCTTCCTTTTAGTATTTAGTTACATAATGGTTGTATCTTCTATACTGAGTGGATACCACAGTTGTGATACGTGGGATGCTTGCTATGCTACCATGGGTCCCAATTTATTAAGTAAAAACTTCCATTTTTTTTTTTTTTTTTTTTGCAGTTGGATGGTACGGGGATCTGAACCCTTGACCTCGGTGTTATCAGCCCCTCCCTAACCAAGTCAGTTTTAAAAGCCTTTCTTTCAAAGACCCCAATAAACATGCCTATCACTTGAATGCTAAAGGGCCATGCTTGAATATGAAGCCATCTTATTTTAATACCTGTTGCTTGCATTTGCTTCTAACAGATATCATTGCTTTATTTATTACATCTCTGTAGTCTCATGTTCATAATTTTTGGCATCTGATACAATCTAGTCACTGCTAGAACCGGTTTTGCTGTCCCAGATATCGAAAACAATCTAATTTTCATGCCAAATAAATAAGCCACAGTATGGCCAAAAATGAAACTTGTTTAAACACGGGTAATTTTAGCAGGCATTAAAACATAACACAAATGTTAAAGGCTAATGGATGTGGTGACATATTAACCATTCCTCTTTAAGTCTTACAAGTTTTTACTATAGAATTACTCTTACAATAGCAATTATCAGAGCAAAACTTAACATTAGAAACCAAATATTTTTAGTATGTGGGTGTTACTACTAAGACCTACAATGGGCTACGTCTGGGGTGGGGGTCCTCAGGAAACGTCACCCTAGTAAGGAAGTACTTCTTATAGGGGTGGACATGGAACCAGATCACCAGAATGCATGAGTTTTCTTGAAACGTTTGAGGCTCTGTAAGAGTAGATGTGGTGCCACACAATAGAAAATCTATACGTTTACATGGCATTCTAATTTGCATATTTGAACACACTTTTTAGTTTGAGCTCATCTAGGCTAGTTTATATATTTTTCTGGCTGATGCCTGAGCTCTTAAGGGTAAGTGCTTAAGGAAATGCTATTTTATGAACAGTTTTTGAACTTGATTAAAATTTAAGAATGTGTTAGGTTTCCTATTAACTTGAGTAGACTTATAGATTACCCCAGTTCCTGAACAGCCTTGGTTATCATTTTAGATATGTACAACCTGAGGTTATGTGGTGACAGTGCTAATCAAAATCATCAGGAAAAAATATATTCAAAACAGATCAACCAGCTAGAAAATAATCTATATATAACTTTTTTCATCTCGCTGTTAATGACATACCATATGTGAAGTATGACCTAGCAACAATAGTACCCATACAAAAATAGCACATTGTAGACAAAATGAATTCTTACACTTACACCATAAAACGATGTTAACTTTTACTTCCAGGACTAAAACAGAAATGCAGTCTGGGGGAAAACACAAAAACAGTGCTTTACTTTTATATAAATTAAAACCCAGCATTTGTGCGTGAAAATAGCTGTATTAAATGACACTTTTGCATTCTGCCGTATATATACACTTGTTCTTAAAGCAGATTGTACAAACACCAGAAACTGCTTTGTGAAATTTTAAGCTTCTTTTCATTAAAAGCCTGCTGCCATACCCACAGAAACTCTTCTGGGTAGTTTAAGGCTACATAATCTTATTTCTAATTAACCATATCAGCAACCATACCCATCACTCTTCAAAATTATAAGCTAATATTTATGGACAAAGACCACAAAAGAACTTTGCATTCAGACAGATGAGGCAAATTAAGTCTTTGTACATAGCCAGATGTTTACATATGGAAAAGATCAAATAACTGATGTTACCTAAGATGCATGTGAGCCTTTGGAACAAAGGGTATGAGATGGGATGAGAGCCTTCGCTTCTCAATGTATTAATAAATTTATTCTTGAGCCATGTGAATGTATTGCCAATTCGAAAACAAAATTATAGTAGTAGTATGCTTAACATCTTGCTATTATTACATTACTTGATAGACATTTACCACTTTTACTTGGTAAGAATTTCATTTAACGTCAACATCTACAAACTCTTTACCTTTTCTCTATACAACTTAACAAATCCTATTAAGTTTCAAATTGTCAAGTCCTGGAAATCACCGTTAAAATTAACAGTAACGAATACCATACTTACTATGTGCCAGGCACTGTTTTAAATGCTGTATTTTCACACTCCTGAAGTAGTTTCCATCGTCAATTAACAGATGAAGCAGTCCAATGTGGGCCTAAAGTAACTTGGCCAAGACAGCAGTCTGGTTCCAGGATCCATGATCTTAACCATTATATCCTACAGCTCAAAAAAGAGCTCTTTCCTTTGCAAACTAATCCATGCTCTGGGAAGCCCACCTCAGATCAAATCTGAGGACCCAGTTTTACAGATTAGACCCACTCAAGATTGTATTTGAAAAAGAGAATTCATATCATGGCCTGTCCTGACGAAATAATTCTTGGGTGGTGCGGATGCAAAAATTTGTCTGTTTATGTAATGGGTAATACAGTATATTCCTAAATGCTTAATATCTGTGTATATTCCAGTTAAAGCCCACTCAGTCTGGACTGAAAAAACATTCAAGTTGGAGTGCAAGAATCTGGGTAAAATTGACTCTTCCTAGGTGCCTTACACATTTAATTCCCTTCTCCTCAATCAATGGATGTTCCTGACAAATTAAGTCCTTAAGTTGAAATCCATTCAAAATTGAGATTTGTGAAACGTGATCATGGAAACATTACCACAGTCCCTTGCTACTATTCAGAGAATTTCAGATGAGTGGGGTCTGAGGAACCATCACCTTTCCACCTAAGTCTTCTCTCTCACATACTACTCTTTGATTTCAAAACTTATCAAGATTTAACTTACCAAGCAAGCTTACTGGTTAACTCAGTTGGCTAGAGCATGGTGCTGATAACATGACAAGGTCCAGGGTTCGGTCCCTTTACCAGCCAGCCACCCAAAAAAAAAAAGCCACATTCTATTGCCAGGTAGCAGAGGGAATAAAAATGTTTCATTTTAAACTTGAAAATTCATCAAGCTCCCCTTCTAAATACCGTAATTTTCAACTCAATTGTGATTCCCCAATACCATTTGTATTTGGGGAGATACTAACCTTATCTTAGCATATAGACATCTACACACTCATCTGCCCTCACAGGCAGTAAAAGTATCAGCAGGCAAAGAACTGTAGCAGTTAAAAGTAAACCAGGGTAAGTATTTCCATCCCAAACTCCATCACTGAGAGGCAATGGTTCCACTCTTGGCTTGTTACCCTGTGGGGAAAATTGGCATGTACTGTTAATTGTTCTTTATTACCTGGCATGACAACAGCGAAGACCAAGTCCATAGATCTGTCACTACATTACAAACCCGAAACAAATAAAACAACTTTTTTTGTACACAGAAAGTCATGTCTACTTTCCTCTTCAGGATTTTTATAAAAGCCATCAATTAAAGCAAAACGTGGAAAAGGGAGATAGGCCGTGATTGCTCAAATTTTGTTCCTTTCTCCTCTTAAGTTTTAAGACTGTCCGGATCCTAAAGGTGCTTATCCAACTCTTCAGAAGTAGTCTACCATACCATACTTAAAAATATTTCAAAAAAACTCATCTCATGGTTCTCACTTGAAGTCCCTTGAGTTCAGGACAGTCATGGAAAAAAGAAATTTACAATATAGCCATGCAAAGTCCACATAAACTATTAAGTTGAACATGTAACATATATAATTTTTCCCCTTTAGGATTCTAACTATGGCTTAAAAACCCAATGGACAAGTGGAAGTTTCCCTCTGTACATGGCTTTTATTATTTACATAATACAATATAGCATTGATGCTGAATAGAATGATTATGTGCAATACATAAATATGAACTATCTGTACACATCTGCAGATCTAACTCAGAACTAAGGTACATAAAATTGAAAGCAAAACTGAATGCTTTAATAAAAGTAAAAACTAGGAATGAACACTGCAATAAATCAGAAGTAGTGCCTCGTGTACATACTTAACTATTTACAGATGAAAACAGGCATTACCACAACACTATTCTAACTATACTCATTTATATATAAAAAACACAAGTTTCATACATCACAAGAAACCTTCCATTATAACACAGAAGTGATATTACCAGACAAGCATCAGTGAAGTATACTGCCTTTTCTAGTTGTTATTGTACAATGCTGTAGATAATGCAGCCCATGCAATACACCCAAGAACACTAGAGTCCTACACCCAAGTACAATTAATATGATAAAGCAGCCCTCCGCAAGTGGTGCTGGATACCACTAAAAAGTCTACTGCAGCCATGTTGGTTATGATTTTCCATGCAGAAGGGTACAGTTACATTAAGAACTGAAGTCTTTAAAAAGCTTTAAACATTCTTTCTTGAACCAAAACATTCAACAAAAGATGCACATGAAAAATTAACTGTTCAGATACCTTTGTAAAACTCAGATGCATGTTATTCAACAGAGCTGCTGTATGTGAAAACCAAACGTAGAGTTTTAATTTCTTCTTGTAAACAAATTAATCCTAGTGCAGTTCTGTACTACACATTTTTAGCAATAAGAGTAATGCAGACATCTTCTGGTGCAGGCCAGCACAATAAGCTTCAAAGATTATCTCAAGGCCCTGTTGTTGGCTTGATAGTTTTACTTATAACCAGTTGTGATGTTTACCTCATCGGATGTCTTATCTGACAGCTTTTAGAAGACCAATTTAATCAGACTTACATATGGCACCAAATATAGGTTTCACAAAAAAGGTCTGATCCTCTTTAAAGCTTTCTTCCTGCTTCCAAAGAACATGTTGTGAAAATTAAGAGGGTGAAGTTTAACTATGGTAGATGGTAGAAGTAGACTGCCAGTCCTTTTCTGGTATACCATTTAAAAAAAAAAAAAATACAGGCACATAACACTAGCCAAAGATTATACCTTGATTACATTCCCAAAAGGCAGATATACTGCAAACATGCAGAGATTTCATTTATTTTGTTTGGCACATGGGAACTAAATTTTGTCTCTATTATCTGTATTTCAATTTGCTGTGCAGATTTTCATCCAATTTTATTCAGGGGAGGGCATATACATTTTGTAGGGCTGTATCTATCCAATTCTGCCTGTAACAAACACGCAAACATCCTAAAATATCAATTATACGACAGACAAGTGTAAAGTAAAACTCTGGAGAACATCAAAGGAAAATGGCCATGCATCTGCTCTTTAATGTTTTCCTACGATATATTAAAATAAAAACAAAGTTTCAGTCTCTTCACAAGTAGTAATTTATATTCTCTGGATTTTTTCAGCCACAACAACTGGATTCTCTTTTCTGATTTTTGCTGCAGCTTCTGCTTTGTAATCATATGGACAGTTGTGCTTGTCAGAGTAACGATGAAGTCCACAAAACAAGTTTCCACATCTGCAGTCAAATCCTGTACAAACAAGAGGAAGAGTCACTTGGGAACTTGCAGAAATTAAAAGAAGCAACAAAAAAAGCCTTAGTCACTAAATAACCAGATTTCATTGCTCAGCAACACAAAAGACAATCAACTCTTTGAATCTATTACACTTTACACTGTGAAAGAACTTTTTAACTTCCTTTGACATGCTGAAAAATTCAAATAATTATATTTTGTCCTGCCCTCCAAGGGCAAATAAGGATTGTGGAGGGTAAGTGCTTGATAAGCCAAACATAAAGAAAACAAAATGGGCTATTTGCCAGCTGATTCTACCCTGTGCTCTCCTTCCATCAACTGCCATAGATACTATGCAAGGTAGAATTCAAAAGCTCTAATGTCAGGATAACTTGGATTCAAAACATAGTTCTACCATATGTTAACTGGGTTATGTTTCCTCAAGTGAAAACCAGGGAAAGACAATGATGAAGCTTGGAAACCTAAAGGAAAGTTTTTTTTTTTTTTTTTTTTTTGGGGGGGGGGGGGAGCATCTGGAACATTTTGTGCCTAGCTCAAAGGAGGTGTAACTGTTTCAGGTACTTTTTCCCCACGAGTACAAATGAAATCAAATGGAATTCATTTTTATCAATCCAATAAAGGAAAATAATTCAGAGTGCCTGAAGTTAATAAAGGGTTTCGTATGATTAGAGAAGACAGATGGAAATTAAACCCAATTTTTTCATACCCCAACACCTTCTTCTCCCCCCCCCCCCCTTCTTAGCCCCCTCTTTTCTTTGGAAACTTTCTATTCTCGAAAGGCAGGCTTTTTTTTTTTTTTTTTTTTAAAATGTGTAAGACCAACCAGTCCCTTAGAAAGGGTCGAAGAACTCCTTAATTATGGGCAGTAA